TTGCTGGAATGCCTCTCCAATGCGATTGACTTTTTCTTCAGAGATCTGTGACTTTCCAGGAGATTTTACATGCAACAGACTGCCTGTAGTTCTCAGTTTGTTTTCCCAGAAGTGAATCCTTTTCTGTATAGGAGGTTGACGTCCATATTGCATTCCAAAATGATGTTGGACAGCCATAAGAAATTGCAACTATGCTAGCCACAACACATATTGAACCTGTTCCTGTGGTGTTGACATCATTACTGAGCTCACTGAAGGTCATCAGCTGGTGCATGTGCATAAGCCAGGCATGTAAAAGTCTTCCAATGACATAAACTGGATACATGTATGACAATTAGTTTCTGAGATATAAATTTTTCATTTTGGATACCTTTCATCTGGACACACTGCATTTACATTCACTGTATTCTGATGCTATCAGACCATTTAATTTAAATTATCATTTTACACTGTAGCATGAAGTGTAGCAAAGGAAGTTCTTTTTTCTTGTGCTATACTGTGCTAGACATGACAGAGGGTTAAATGCATTGAAACATTTGAACAGAAAACATACTAGTACTTTTAGTTTTCAAGTCTTAAGAATGAAATATTTAAATTGTACCAATATTGAGATCTTTGACTTTAGTGGGGAATGTAGTAGACAAAATGAGAAGCAGGTTAACCAAGGCCCCAGTGGTTGATAGAAGTCAGAATAATGTCCTGTTCTATATTTCTGATGTTTCCCTCTAATGTTGGGGCACATTTTCACCTCTGCAGCTGAAGCAAAGGACTGAAGTAATTTAAAAATTTGTTACAATTTGTTCTCATATATATAATGGAATGAGTTATAATACTTCAAATTATGTGTAAATGTGGTGCTTGCATACAGCAATATCATACCTGAATGAATTATATATTAAGCCTTTTCTAGCCCACATGGTAAAACTAGATGAAAAATATTCACATATTGAGCTGTTTACCAAATGAATAAGTATTACATAATCCATTTAAAAATTAATAATAGAGTAAGTTATGATATTAAAATATATACTTCCACTAAATTAATTTTAAGCCATCCCTCAAATTATTTTTGTTTATTGGTGCAACAGGTGTCAGTGGTTATCTGTCCCTGATCTTTAGGCTATAATGAAATCATCTTAATTATAATGTAATTTTAGTTATTCAAACTCAATGGGTTCTCCATGCCTCCTACTAATGAAAGCATTTCATAATTTGTATATATCAGGCTGAGAACAGTGCCATCTTCTTGATACATAAGTCAGATGAAGGAAGACTGAAAGAATGCAAGAATATTTTTTCAGTGACAACTTTCATATTAACTTCCCCTCTGACTGTCAGTTTCTTGGTTTGTATGTTATTTTCCGTGGGCTTCATATCATAAGTCTTGATAAGTATTTGTTCTATGATAGTGATTCTTTCGCTAGTTATTTACAGTTTTTATGCATATTATTTCATTTGTTTGAAAGATTCTTTATAGAACATAGGTTCATAATTATACCAGACTACCAGAGTATTTTCACTATGGGGAGCTTTAGAAATTCTGTGTGAGAAGTTTTACTTTCAAGTAAATATGCATAGTATAAACATATGTGAAAAACTATTAAAAAATATATCATCCAGTGGTTGGTACATCAGATTATGTTTTTTAGATATGCCAAAAACCATGCAGAATTTTAGGAAACTTCGACTATTTATATATTAATAAACCCTTTCATGTGATAAATAGGTAACCACATACACTTTAGTATTATCTCCACAATTTATTTCCATATTCATTATATATATGCAGTAGTATAATCTTCAATAACTAAAAAAGTTATTAACTTTGTGATGTATAAGTCAGTATAACTGTGCACAGAATACCAGGTAATGAATTAAGTATATAGTGCAAGCTGTACTTTCTGCAATTTTAGCCCATAAAATTAGTGCTTTCTGAATTTCAAACTTATAAATGGTTCTAATTATCTTCCAGTATTTTTAGTTTCATTAAACTCAAGGTACTTCATCCATACATGCCACCAATATCCTAAATATGAGAGAATCAGCAATACATGTCTAAGCAAATATTAAACATGTGATTTGAAATTTCAAATTCATGTTTATGTACTTGTTACAATATGAAGCATGTTCATGAGAACAAAACAATGATCAAATTCATTCATTCTGTTTAACCATTTTTAATGAAGAAATTTCAGTATCTTACCTAATTTTGAATTTATAATGCAATCATATTTCATTCATTATACATACAAATGTAATAGGAATCATTATAATTGAACATTTCAGAAATTGTTAATGTTTTGTTTTTATTTTGGAAAGTGGGGTACGGAGGTATTTTATGATTAGCAGTCAACTGGATAACTATGGAAATTATGAGTACATTTAAGTTTCATTCTCAGTTACTGCCATTCTCAGGTTGCTTTACAAGTCTAAACAAATTCACTTTTATCAGACTCCAGTTGGCTGCGGTTCTGTCCCTGTAGGACATTATGTTTTAAATATATATATATATATATATGTATTTGAATAAGATAGTGCTACATAATACAATAGATATTGTGTCATATTGTTGAAGTGTATTTTAAATTCTTCCTGTATCCTTATAATAAAATTCATCTGATTAAACTCAAATACAGATTAAACCAATAACATAATTTACCTTCTTATGCAGTAACATTTTAAAAATAATCCTTCTGTAAAATTATGTTTTCTGCCTTGTCACCTATTTGGTTTTTGTTCTGAATTAATGTAAATGTATGAATAACCACTAGTAATTATTTATACATAGATTTGATATTGCAGGTTAAAAGAAATTACTGCTATGTATTCATAAGGATTTCGAAGTATCCTCTGACACGTTCATATTTTACACATTTGTTCCCAGTATAAAAATACATTATTATTATGTGCAAATGAAATTTGACATTCCATATGATCTTTCCATGGGGTATCACTGTTATCAACTTTATATGAAATGTTATCTAATATCCTTCTCTCAAGGTTAAGTCCATATGTAGATGAAGTTATTGGGGATCATCAGCGTTGGTTTTGACATAACAGTTTAACTATATTCAGATTCTTTGCATTCGTCAGATACTGGAGAAAAAGAGGGAGTACAGTTACACAGTATATATCAGCTATTCATACCCTACAAGACAGAGGGAAGTATTGTACAATATTCTCGTAGAGTTTGGGGTACCCATGAAACTAGTTAAGTGATTAAAATATGTTTAAATGAAATGTATAGTAAAGTCCATATAGGTAAACATTTGTATGTTAAGTTTCATGGTCTAAAAGAGGGAGATGTTTTATCACCACTGCTTTTAAACTTTCCTTTAGAATATGCCATTAGGAAGGTCCAGGAAAACCAAGTGGAACTGAAACTAAATGGGACACATCAGCTGTTTGTCTATGCCGATGATGTGAATCTATTGGGTGATAATATAGATACCATAAAGAAAACCACACAGACTTTAATTGACATTAGTAAGGAGGTTGGTCTAGAAGTAAAGAGAGAAGACTAAGTACACGTTGCTGTATCGTCACCAGAATGCAGGGCAAAATCATAACATAAATATAGCTAACAGAACCTTTGAAAATGTGATGCACTTCAGATAATTGGGAATAAGAGTAACAAATCAGTTTGATTCAGGAGCAAATTAAGACAAGATTTAATTTGAGTAATGCTTGCTACCATTCAGTCCAGAACCTTTTGCCTTCTCATCTGCTGTCTAACAGTGTAAACATTAGAATATAAAAAACTATAATTTTTCCCTGAGGCTCTGTATGGGTGTGAAACTTTGTCTCTGATATTAAGGGAGCAACATAGACTGAGAGTGTTTGATAACAGGGTGCTGAGGAGAAAATTTGGACCAAAGAGGGATGAAGTGAAGGGAGACTGGAGAAAACTCCATAACGAGGAGCTTCATAACTTGTGCTCTTTGGCAAGTATAATTAGAATGATCAAGTCAAGGAGGATGAGATGGGCAGAGCATATAGCATGCATAGGGGCTAAGAGGATTACATATAGGATTCTGATGGAAAAGCCACAAGGGAAAAGACCACTAAAACGACCAAGATATAAGTGGGAGGAAAATAATAAAATGGATTATCGAGAGGTCGGATGGGGTGGTGTAGAGTGGATTGATCTGCCTCAGGATGTGGACTAGTGGAGGGCTCTTGTAAACACTGTAATGAATCTTCAGGTTCCCTAAAATGTTGGGAAATCCTTGAGTAGCTGTGCAGTTGGCGGCTTCTCAAGAAGGGCTCAGCCCCATGGAGTAATTATTTAGTTCATTAGCTAGTTAGTTATGTATGATTTCCAAGATAGATTTGTTCATGTAAACATAGCAGGTTTTTGGTGCTCTTACCCTCAGCTGATATTCTGAATGCCATGTTAATACGGGTGCTGTAGGGAGGTCTGATCATGAAGATGACATGGCAGAGCATATTTTACATTGGAGACAATAATACTGGATGTGACTGCACTGAAATATTTCAGGAAGGAACACCCTAACTCTTTCACACTCTGTCTCTTGTTAATATTGTTGAATTGTTAAGTTTATTCTCACCAAAAACTATCTTTTCCCTAGTATTTTATAAGTTTGGATAGAAGAAGGAAATTTTATTTTTGACTTATGAGTGTTATGAATAACCTGTAAATTTTTCTAGAGATCCTTCTGCTAGATTTGCACTTAAAACTATCATTTATGTTTCTCTTCTGTAAATAGTCTAATTTTTTATGTTTCTACACGAGGAATGCCAAAATAATTAATTTGCTCAAAGTGTAAAATGAAATGACACATTACATACTTGGAATATGTGTTTGAAACACTTTTTGAATAGCACTAGATTTTTCTCTTCCTCCACGGAACAGTAGTAGAAGTGGAGTTCTCTATTTCTGATGTTGCTTATTTGGATCAGTAGATGTAGCTTTAATGTTGCTCTTGTTTTATTTCTTTGTTGCCATGGTAACTGATGTAACTCCCATCTTCCTCCAGAAAGTGGTAAGAAGTTTCAAACACAGTAATTTCCTCAATAAGAAAGCAATATAAAAGATTAAATGAATAATTTTTATACTTCTAGTGCTTAAAAACTATTTGTGTTATGTTCATATGTGTTCTTTGTTTCTTGATGTGTGCATGCATTGCTAGAAGGCATTATTTCTTCTTTCATCCACCTTGCCAGTTCTTCACTGTTTCTTGTCTGTCTGTCATCTTCTGTACATTTCTATTTGACTTTCCTTCCTTATCATTTTGCATTCCACAAGCCACCTGCATTTTATATATGTAACTGTCTTATGCTGTATGATCATACATTTCTTGCTTTTGTCTGAATCCCATGTAAGGCTGTACAATCATTGAAATTGCACAGAATGTTTTTGAAATCAAGTTAGAAAAAATTATACATCATCTGATTGAAGGACTATTTTATTTATGAACTGTTGTGTCAATTATTCATGTATTAGATAATGGCAATAGTGATTATTCCAGAAACTCCTTGGTGTGGAGAAAATGTGAAGTATGACACAGATTGTGTAGTTATATTCTGTCGTTTATAAGTGGGAGAAGTAAATTTATATTTTAGTTTCCTCACAGCATGAGATTTGAGGTTCTCATGTTGGCATTATGTAGAATACTGTCCCCTGGATAGTCTGGTAGATGCTTACCATAGATTCAAAGAAATCTACTGCCTCCATTTTCAGTGTTGAGGATTAAGATAAGGAAATTACTGTCTTGTTTGTATCCTTAATTTTCATGTTCTTTGACCCTTGAGATGGAAGCTGTACATGTCTCCAAAAGTTGGTAAACTTCCTCCAGACTACGCATCATCCCATCCAGAAAATAATTCTCTTCCTATCTGTAACCAACATGTGTCTTTTTCTACATGGTCCTGATCGAAATGTTATAAACAGGACAGTGAGTCGGTCAATCAGTTAAGTTGGTTGGTGAGTTAGAGAAATAACAGTTGGGGTTCAGTCCTTATGAGCTGTTGCTGAGAAAAGCTGGTAACTGAGGCTGAGGACAGTTCAGGAACCCAGAGGAAGAGGGACATCTGCCATTGGAAGTCACTACTGAGCAATGACTAGTGAAGACTGTAACCGACTGAAAAGACCTAGTGCGTCCATTAGTGATTTGTGAAGTGTGTAGAACAGTGAGGGTATAATCCTTACTTGTGGTTACCAATTCTAAGGATTCAATAAATCTGATTACCAGTCGAAACCCCATCTGTAGTCACTAAATTGTGACAATACTACTATGCACTTTGCCCACATAAATTCTGCTTGTCTGTGGTCTCCATGCTTCCAATTGGAATTATATAATATAATCACGCTGGATTCTGACAGCTCATCATATAATTCATCCCTATGGTCACAGAGAAACACTGAACTAAGTAAGGAGTCAAGCTCTTCTGTGCAAATGACTTTTCATGCCTGCAGGTAAAATATTTTCCTGTTATCTCCCTTTGACAAAACCTGGTCCCAGGTATATGTAGTTACACTGACTTGGGTTGTCCAGTGATTGAATTTAGCTCTTTGTAAGAACACAACAGAGTAGGTGTCTCCCGCTCACCTGAGGATGGAAACAGATCCAGTTTCCGAAACATTGTGTTCCCTATTTTCAGAATACAAGAAGAAGGACAAAGTCCAAAAACCCAGTAATTCTGAATGGACATATTCCTTAGAATCATTCTGTATATGGATATACATGATATATATATGTGCATACATGCATATGTATGGACCTTTATTTGCTTAAATGTCTTGACATTTCAGTTGCAGCCTTTGTCACAGATCATGCAGTGATCATTAGGCGTGTACTCACTATTAACGTCTTTTTTAAATGACTGCATATGCTTTAATTATATCTACAACAATCTTACATTGTACATAACCATGCATATGTTATGAGCTTTAAAACTAGACTTCATAGGACACATGTATTCTTATTTCTTCTGCTTGGTTTAAAGTTGTTGTATTGTAAATTATAAACTATTGCTTGGCTTAAACAGGTTTCATGAAAATGTATCTAATTAATATTATGAACTCTAAATGGTTTCTTAGAACAGTAACTTTTTTCTTTCCATTTGTTGAAGACTGGGGTCATGTGGTAGCGTAGTTGGTTGAAGCACTATGCTAGAAACCAGAAGGTCATGGGTTCGAGTCCCAAAGATTTTTTAAATTTATCTAATCCTTCCAGCCATGCTATGATCCTGGGTTGACTCAAACTCTAACAGAAATGAATACCGGGAATCTTTCTCGGGGAGTGGATACAGGGCAACTGGCGCATAAGGCTGACAACCTTACCGCCATCTGTGAGCTGATTATCTAGGGAAAATGTGGAAGCCTCCACCTCTTACAACCCTATGGGCCTTCACAGGCTGTTACAGGGATAGCTTTACCTTTTTCTGTTGAAGACTACTTGTACAAGTACTGCTGTTGACAGTTGACAACTTATTGATGCAACAGTATATTCCAGAAGTGCATATGCTGCAAAGCTGACGTTAATGTAGCAAACTTAATACTTAAATCCTTGTTTACAAATTTGTGTCATACTTATTGATATAATAATTTTATATAAATGATCATTTTATCTGAGTTCATTCATATAAAGTTTTCATTGGTATTTTTAATCTCCTAAGAAGTGATCTGTAATTGGAATTTATATTACAAATAATGCACTGCTAGATTTGGATGGCTTATTTTAGTGTGATATCAAGCAAAATTACTTATTCATACAACACTACAGTGCTCACAGCATTGGTGTATATTATTAATGTGGTGCAGCCATGGAATTAAATCAGTCTTTAATCCACTGCTTATAATCACATACATTGTTAACTCTCACAGTCTTTATCTGCTGTGCCAGGTAATGGATTTCTATGTGTCAGCTTCGAATCCAGTACACAAAGGTTAAAATGGGAAACAAAAACCTGCCGGTTCAAGCACAGCATTATTTGTGAAAAATTATTTACATTATGATTGATAGTATTCAAAATAGCATGTGTTCGTGGTCTTAGGAGTTTGTGCCTTTGTGTTTTTCCCCACAGGCCGAAGTATCATAACCAAAAAGAGTGATGGCTCGCAGGTGAAGGAGTCCACAGATAGCAGCACAACTCTGGAGGATGATGACGTCAAAGGTAAACAGAAAATGGTTGTACCATATTCTGTAACTTGCATACTTTTACCCTGAACTCACTATAGCTGAATAAAAGGATATTGTAGTTGATCATGTTCATATTTGACTTCAGTGATGAACTGGTCGCTTGAAGCTACTCCACATTTCTTACAGCACAACAGGATATGTCTATGTATTAATTATATCTGCATGCTCTGAGAAATGTCAACAGTGCTAAATTTATTCTTCATGAGTAATGTCAGTCACAACACTGCAATATCTCGTTGCATTCACAGACCATTTTTGCATATTACAGACTGTTTTTCTGTATATTAAAACTTCTTTTTTGTCTTCTAGAATTTACTTTGTTTAATGAAATATATGGATTATTTATGCAATTTATGCAAATACTATCACATTTTATTTTTTATGCATTTGTGAGCAGACGCCAGCAGATATGATCATTGTGATTTGCCCCAACATGATTGTGTTCATGCATACTGCTGAATAGACTGTGTTTATGCCAAACATTATTTTTAAAGAAAGAGCAGTGTTATAGAATAAATCATGTTGAAAGTGGGGCATTATCTTTTCATACCTTATCTACAAATTATGTGGTAAAATGTGTATTTGCCTAGCCTGAACCGTAACTTGAAGCATGTCTCACAGTTTAGTACAATTGCACAAAATTTGCCATCACTTTTAATCTAAGACATAGGATAATTTGTCTTTTTAAAGTCATATAGGAATTTAGCAGAATCAAATTACTGATGAATGTTTAGGTTCAAAGATGCACACATAAAAATAGTAAATATTTCATTGAAAATAAATCTGTTAGACAATATTTGAATGTGCAATATGGTTTTCTGACTGTTTGGGGTTGTGGCTTCTGCATATTTTGGTCAGTTCATAACTTTCATTTTTGCCCAAATTTTTCTCTCCGTGTATAAAAAGTAGAAATCCATCAACTATGGCTGATTTAATAATTAAATAAATAGGATGTTTTTGCATTTTTATACGTTTTGGCCATTAGTGGCCATTATCAGAGGTAAACCGTTGTTATAAAGGAAGTACTTTACATATGTTGTTATTGAATATGAGTTATTATATTTCTAATTTTTTATGTAGTAAGAGAGTATGTTGGTTAAAATATCTTTCATAAAGGTATGTTTTCTCTCCTCTTTCATGTATATTGATGAAAGAATGATGGTCATCACCAAAATGAGACCTGTGTGCATCTTTGTAGTAGACTAGTATTATCATTCTACTTTAGTGTATTAGTTTGGGTATAACCTAACATGTTGGTTAATATAGCTCATTTATACTGAAAATTAGGAAGGTTTTCTTTCTGATTCATATGATGCCAGTTTCAGGCATGTCATTGAAATTAAATATCATGTTCTTTTATACTAATATTCATACATCCTTAAGGCTTCAAGCAGTAATCATATCCCTTAATTTCATCACAAGGACATATTTATGTGTCTAGTTACAATGAAGTACAAGGCTTGATGTCTGCTTGGTGCTGTATTAAACTAAAACTTATAATGTTTAATTTTATCATCACTCATTTTATAATGAAATTATTTCATTGTAAATGGGCTCTTATCATATGTAGAGATTACATATTGAGAAAAGAAGACTGTACTCTGTCACTTTAAAATGTGCTGGTTCATGTAGCATATGACACCTTTTGCTAGTGACAGAGTGCAATCATTTACCTCATGGAAGTTTTTATCTGTGTTTCTGTAATACTGATGGATGTGATTATTATGGTATGTTTCTTGTAGGAGTCAGTCTTCTTTAGAGTAGTGAGAACATCCCTACCTCCATTCTCTAACCAGCTGCTTCTTAGAGAGTAGTTACTATCCATACAAACAACAATATCTTTACTTTCACTCAGAGATAAAATGCAGTGTTGCCTATTATATATCTTCACTCTACTTCATTTCAACCTTAAACTTGAATGACATTTCTGATTCTCTATCCTTGTATGTTCTTGATGTCTCCTACCCATTCATTATAACAACATTAGCTTTGGTTTTAATAATTGTCAAGTACTGCATGGTTGAGAGTTTCATACAAATAACTACGTTACTCCATAATTATAGGAAGTATTTCGTTCCATTATATTTAAATGGTCCATAAATCCATAACACATGGCAACATTGGCTGCATTTTAATGACAGAATAGAATAATATGTCTGTGTGAACAGAACTGATTTTTCAGGAACCTTGAAAAGGAAGCCCACCAATGATACCAGCACAAATAGCTTGTAATCCAGCAGTCACTTATTTTACTGCATGGTTAGAGAAATCACTGTGTCACCACCACTTCCACAGTCTATGATATATAACCATGGATTCATTATGCAGTGTATGCCTGTAGATACAACAATTTATTTTATTGTAGCACTTTCTATCTTGCATATATAGACATCCAGAAACGTTTTAGTTTGTATACATAACAATGGAGAAGCACCTGAATAAAGGTAGGAATATTAATTTTCATATATTATAACATTTCCATCCTTATATAACTTGCTGCAGTTTGAGGCTTAGTTGCACAATGAGTAATGCCAGAATCAGTTGTTTTCTTTTGTTTCATTTTGGAAACTGTAAATCCTTCAAGCAATAGTAATTTCTCTCACCACACCTTCTAATATTTTATTAGCAAATCTAGGCAAAAACGTATTTTTTTTTGTTTTACTTCTAATAATCTATTACATTTCAGTTATTATATTATCAGTACTGACATTTATCTTATGGCAGTATATATGTATATGTTACATTATTATTATTTTGTTTTAAAAACTGAATATATGTGTAAGAACCATTGTATATACCATATACATTCTTTAAATATCAATTTATTAACTCATCAAGATTTTCATACATTTTTTTGCATATATTTTGTAGCTCTCACACGTGTTATTTTATATTGCACAGTCATTTTTGACATTACTCCTGATAACAACATGTATGGATAGAATGTCATCACATTGAAAAGAAAAACATAGGTATGGAATATCTCAGCTAGAGAATTCTTGTAGTCAGTGATAAAGTATGGATTTAATTGTTGATGCATTGACATCAATAATTACAATAATTTTGAATGATAACAGTAATAATAATGGTGATGGTTCTTCTAATGTAGCGTTAATATCTTCATTATCTGCATTGTGTATATCATAATTTACCATGTTCATTACAATTTTATGTCAGGGTAGAGCTTTTGAAATGATGCATTTCCATGGACTAGCATGAACACAGACATCATTCTGATCATCAGCACAGATTTGCAACAGCTTCATCTTGTTGCAGTCCTTGTGACCAATGTGAAATTAAGTGAAGAGATTAGATCATACCTAATACTACTGAAGAGGAAAATTCTTCATGTTTTACTGTTGTCTCATATATAATTAGCTTGAAGTTAATGGTGGGATATATACATAATTCGTATTCAGACTTTGTCTGTGTATATAATAATTTTCTTAATTCAAACTTTATGAACATGTAACATTTATATCATTTTTTATCCCTAAGTTTCCATGAATTACATCTAAATATATAAGCTCAACTTTTGGGTTTGAGTCATGTTGTCTGTTAATGTTCTTCCAACATTCTGGGAAACATTGCTGTGGCCATCTTCAGAATGAACATCGTGGAGAGGTAAAACACAATGATATATGTATATAAAAATCTCAGGAAGGGAATTGGGAAAGGAAAAGATGAAATGATTATTTAGGATGCTGTGTTGGGCACCTCCACAAATTTTGTTCCTGTATCATTCGAGAATCATAGGAAGATGTATATAGATTGAATGGAATCTAAATTTTAAACATCAGGAGTGAATCCCTTGGCTAATGCCCAGGACAGCAGGTTCACTAATCACTTACCATCTCCTCTTCCTGTTCCCCTTTATGACATCATGTATTCTTGTACGTGGTTACCAAAGTTTTGGAGAAAAACTGCTAACCCTACATCAGATAATGTGCAGTTCTGGCCTAGAAGACAACAGTCTAATTCTTCATTGCCATGGAATCATCAACGCTCCTCTACATATTGTTGCTTTTTTAACCATCCATAACATTTCCCCTTAAGATGGCAACTGCAGTGTTTGCCAAAACATTGGAAGGTATGAATCAAATGGTGTGAAACAGACCCAAAAGCTGATCTTATAATTAAGGATAGAGTCCAGAGTTGGGCTTTTGTGAACTGGTACTGAACTTTTGGACCCATAGAGCAGAGTTTTTTTCAGCAACTGAGTGTCTAGTAGCTTCTCAAAAATGACTGCTCCATGGACTTAGTTAGTTAGTTAGTTAGTTAGCTAGCTAGTTGGATGGTTAGTTGTTTGGTTTGTTTTTTGGTTGATTAGTAGATATATACACACACACACACCATACTTTGAAAGCAAAGCGAGAGACTAGTCGGAGGTATACAGTGGAGTTGCATTACTTTGAAATGTACATCAGAACTCCCTTTTTTCAGTGTGGTGAAATTCTCATAAAACATACTGAAATTACAGTGCTTTTAGCTTTACTAGTTGGGTGTCTGGTGTTATGGATTTCTGACCAGCAGAAGCTTCTGAAGCCTATGATAGACAAACTAAAATGTTGATCTTGTTTATGAGTCTACAAGATTGATAACCAGGTGAAGTCATATTCAGAAACATATAGTCACAGTATTAATTTAGGTAATATTTGAATGTACAGGCATATTTGTTCTTATCGGTACAACAAGCATTATATTTTAATGTTCAGAATTGTAGACCAGTAAACTTAAGATGTTTAGAACATCAACCTTCAAAGCTGCGATGTAACCTAATCTGAACTCTTAACACACATTGTTATAAGAAATATTTCTTTCCACATATTAATACAATTTTTTAAAATGCATGAATAACACCGAAAGCTCCATGCAATGGAATTCAAGAGATTAGATATTTGAACTTTATTATTCACAAGTTTACAGTTATTATCTTTATTATTCAAAAGTTTGCCATATGTAAATTTTATTGCA